GAATTTTGAGAACTTCAATCTCATGGTGAAAATCTTGGTACGTGATCTGAAAGCATGAAGCCCAGGTAATGAGTGTGTGACAGACATAGAAAATGTAACGCATTCTAAGAAGTAAGTCAATTGTATTTGAAAACTTAAAGTACAAGGAATTTGGTTAATTCAGTAAATCAGTTTATCAGAAAGGACCCCTAGCCTTTTACCACTCATTTTTTAGTCAATTTATTGACAAAAGAAAATGCATCATTGGAGTCAATAATTCTATTACTCTCACAATGATAACAGGATACAACAATATACACCACAAACACACTTTGAGCTGTAACCAGCCCTTTCACTGTCGTAAATAGTAGTTTCAGAGACAGCAACATGAAACCACCTGCAAGTTAATTTCAGACAGTTGAACACCACTAGGAGATCTAATTGACTAAAACTCATTCTGTGTAAGAAACTAACCGCAGCAAATACATCATGCAGCTGCAGACATGTAGCATGAGTTTGATGCAGTGTTTGCAATGACTTTGATTTAATAAAATGGACGAAGTTGCTTCACAGGAGCATTATAATTTGTACTTATAAAGCCTCTTTGACATAATAAAGCAGACAAAGATGCTTCATGGGTGCCATAAAAAATGTGATACTGAACACATAAGGAGATAAGAACATATGACATAGGCCAAGAGTGGACTAAATGAGTTCCACAATTCAATACAATCACAACTGATCTTCTGCCTCAAACTTCAGTTTTCCAACTGCTCCCAATGTCCCTCGATTCCCTCGAGAAACCAAAAACACGATCACTAACAAGAAAATTTGAACCAGGAATGGGCCACACAGCCTCTCAAGCTTGCTCTGCAAGGTCATGGCTGATTTGATTACTATACATTCCTCCTACCGATGATAACTGCTTGTCTCCTTGCTTACCAAAAAATCGTTCCACCTCTGCCTTAAAAATATTCAGAGACTCAGCTTCCACTGGCTTTTCAGGATGAGAGTTCCAAAGACTCACAAACTTGTGAGGAAAAAAAAATTCATCATCCCTGCCATAAATGGGTGACCCTAATTCTAAATTATTCCATAATAGGAAACTTCCTGTCAAGTACCAATCTTATATATTTCAGTCAAGCTGCTTCTTACTCTTCTAAACCTTTAGTGGATTCCAGCCTACCCTGTCCATTTTTTTCTTACAAGTTAACCCACCCATTCCACATATTAGTTTACTAGACCTTCAAGTAAACCTTCCCCAAACCTCTTCCAACACACTTAACATATTTTCTTAAATAAGGAGACCAATACTGTGCGCTGTACTGTATCCCAGATTTGATCTCACCAATGCTTTGTATAAATGAAGCATAACCTCCCTACTTTTGAATTAAATTCCCCTTAAAAAAGCACTATAATATTCCATAAATGTTCCTAATTACTTGCTATACCTACATACTAACCTTTAGCAATTCATGAGGTAGGCCATTCAGATTCTTCTGCGTCTCAGAGCTTGGTAAACTCTCACCAATTAGATTACATGCCTTTTTTCCTTCCTGCCAAAATGGACAATTTCATATTTTTCTGCATTATGTTCCATTTGCTAGATCTTTGCCCACTCTGTCTCCCTGTGTGGCTTCCTTAGGTCCACTTCACAACTTCCTTTCCTACCTATCCTTGTGTCAGCAAAAAATGTAGCAATGATACCTTTGAGTACCTTCATCTAAGTTACATACGTAAATCGTTAAAAGGCAGAGGTACTAGCTCTGGTCCCTGTGGCACATTGCTCATAACATCTTGCCAACCAGTAAAATCTGTCCATCCCAGCCTTCAATATAATCATTAACGGATCATCCACAACCGTTTGGGGAAGACAATTCCAAAGCCTCACACTGAAGAAATTTCTCGTCATCTTAGCCTATGCAATTGACCCCTTGACTGGGGACTGTTCCCTATCCTGTATTCTGGATTCAAGTTCAGACAATAATATCTCAGTATTTAATACAAAAACAGAAAAGACTGGAGAAACTCAGCAGGTCTGACAGCGTTTGTGGAGTGAGAAACAAAGTTAACATTTTGAGTTCAATATGACATCTTCAGAACAATTCTGCCCTACTAATTACATCCTCCAAAAAATGAGGGCCAATGACCAAAAGCTCAGTCATAGAGGTAGATTTTGAGGAGCTTCTTGATGGAAGTAGACAAGGTCAGAAATCACACGACACCAGGTTATAGTCCAACAGGTTACATTTGAAAACACAAGCTTTCGGAGTGTAGCCCCTTCGTCAGGTGAAGTGAGAAAGGAGAACACAGAACACAGAATTTATAAGTAAAAGATCGAAGGATCACACAACTGATGAGGATGTATTAAACAAACCTAAGATGCTGTTAAATCTTTAACCAGTCAGAAGGTTAATATGTATATATGAATCCCCAAATTTCTTTCAAGTCACTGCCCTGAAAGAACTAAATGTTTTGTTGGTGTAAAGAGGTGACATTTTAGGTCAGACAATGCATGTTAGGTGTGAGGCCTTGTTTAGAATCGGTTTGTGTTTTAGTTTGGAGTCAGAGTGGTTTTATTTCTAAAGTAGAACTTTATAAAACACCACATTAACTGACTGTACATAAATTATGTGCTTTTTGAACAACATAGAATGTATCTGCAAATACAAATTCAACCCATAGATTTATTTGTGTGTGCGTGTGAGAGAGAGAGAGAAAGTGTCTGTGTGTGTTGGTGAGGGAGAGACAGAGTATGTGTGTGTGTGTGTGAGGGAGAGTGAGAGTATGTGTGCTTGAGAGACTGTGTGTATGAGAGAGGATCTGTGTGAGAGTGTGTGTGTTTGTGTGTGTATAGTGTTGGTGGGGTCACCTGTAGTGCAACATGAACCCAAGATGCTAGTTGGGGCCATCCTCATGAGTACCGACCTTGGCTATCAGCTTCTGCTCATCAACCCTGCGTTGTCGAGTATCCCAGAGTCTGCCTTGAAGATGGAGGTACAGACATGACAGGTTTAAGGAGGGAATTCTGGAATTTATCACTTTGATAACTGAAGTCATGGCCACCAATGGTGCAGCAATTAAATCAGGTATGGTCAAAATAATTAGAAGAGCTGATACTGAGAATTGCAGATCAGAGATAGGGAGAGGTTATGTCGTTTGGACGCAAAGGTCAGTGAGATTCTACATTACTAACAATTGGATTTTTGGTAGGACCAGGTGTGTTCATTTCACAGTTCCAGTATGATTAGGTCTCAGCTTTCTCTTGATGGAGCAAAAACGGTCAAAGACAAATGAGAAGTACTAATGACGCACTTGCCAATTTATTCAAAAGCATTTTAATCACTAGTAGCTATTTTTAATTTTGCAACTCAAAATAAATGCATCTGCGAGAAGATTAGAAATGAAATTATGTGACATTTCTCACCATAGTGAACTAATGGCTGCAAAAATGCAGTTTTGGAAAGTTCTGTTGCCAACATTTTATTGTAGAATGGAGAAAACAGAAATAGGATACTGAGTTGGATGGTCAGCCATGATCATATTGAATGACAGAGCAGGTTCAAAGGATTGAGTAGCCTTTATGCTATGGTTCTCCTCCCTTTCATGAACTATTCCTGTTCAATTATGCCATTGCAGAATTTGGTACTGGAATGGCAAAGCGACTACAGCAATGGAATTAGGATGTTGCCAGATGGGGACAGTTAGGTGTCACTGTCATGGACATTGCAACCTATCTCATGTTGTAAATGATGTTTCTGAGCAGCACCATAGCAATAGGAGAAGCCTGCAGCAGTGACTGGCTCAGATTTTAAACATCTGCGAGTCACAGAGATGTACAGCACGGAAACAGATGCTTTGGTCAAACTCATCCATGCCGACCAGATATCCTAAATTAATCCAGTCCCATTTGCTAGGATTTGGCCCATATATCTCTAAACCCTTCCTATTCATATACCTATCTAGATGCCTTTTAAATGTTGTAACTGTACCAGCCTCCACCATTTACTCTGGCAGCTCATTCCATACACACACCACCCTCTGCGTAAAAAAGTTGGCCCTTAAGTCCCTTTTAAATCTTTCCCCCTCACGTTAAATCTATGCCCTCTAGATTTGGACTTCCCTCCCTGGAGAAAAGACCTTGACTATTCACCCTATCCATGCCCTTTATGATTTTATAAACCTCTATAAGGTCACCCCTCAGCTTCAGACTCTCCAGGGAAAATAGCCCCAATCTATTGAGTTTCTCCCTATAGCTCAACCCCTCCAACCCTGGCAACATCCTTGTAAATCTTTTCTGAACCCTTTCAAGTTTCTCAACATCTTTCCTATAGCAGGGAGACCAGAATTGAACACAGTATTCCAAAAGTGGCCTACCAATGTCCTGTACAGCTGCAACATGACCTCTCAACTCCTATACTCAATGCACTGATTAATATACCATATGCCTTCTTTACCGCCCTGTCTATCTGCGACTCGACTTTCAAGGAACTATGAATCTACACTCCAAAGTCTCTTTATTCAGTAACACTGCCCAAGACCTTACCATTAAGTGTATAAGCCCTGCCCTGATTTGCCCCACCAAAAGGTAGCACCTCACATTCATCTAAATTAAACTCCACTTGCCACTCCTCAGCCCATTGACCCATCTGATTAAGGTCCTGTTGAACTCTGAGGTTGGGGGAAAGCAAATAACTGAATAGATAGCTGAAAATGCAACTTGTTGTAAGTCAGCCTAAGTGTAATTCAATGCATCAGTCACAACTATAGCAGAAGCAGCAACCGAATGCATCAGTCTCAGAAATCAGCAAAGGTCAGTGACCGAATGCATCAGCCTGAGACGGCAGTGAATGAATTTACCAGCTGGAGACTGCAGCAAGGGCAATGAATGCATATGCCGGCCTTGTACTGTTGTAGAGACACAGAGGGAATATATGAGCCCAAGACTGCAGCAAGGGACACAGTGAATAAATCAGCAGTGGAAACTCAAAGAAACCTTGTTCATGCAACTAAGTTGGAATTTTGCCAAAATAATAATGGCAAATCAGGGAACTCTTCAAGGAACCTTTATTTTCAAGGTTGACAAATTTATCTGATTATGTCATTCGCACTAATATAATAACATAATTAAATTACTTCTGCTTTTTTGAATTTCAACATTTTCCCCAGCAAACTGAATAAATCGTAACGCTGCTTTGGAATATTATGGTGCATTGCATCACATTGAATGAACATATCACTCTCAAGATGACAATAGGTTTGAAGAGAATATAAGATTGAGACAGCTGTAGGGACACTGTGAACATACATTGTCAGTTTCAGACAGTAGCAAGGACAATGATAAATAGATCAGACTCATACGATAGCAACAGCATTGTAGAAATCAGTCTGAAACTGCAGCAGGGACACCGAGTGAATACATTAGCCCAAGACTGCACCAAGGACGTTGAATGAATCTATCAACCTCAGATTCAGCAAGGCAAATGACTGATTGTATCAGCTTCAGACTACAGTAGGGATACTGCATCAATCAACCTGATATTGCAGAAGGGACACTGTACAGACCACCCTCAGACTCTAACAGGGACATTATGGCTGAACATTGAACTATAAAAGGGGAAACAGATCACACAAAGACTATGTCCCAGACAGGAAGTGACTCAATCACTCCAGACAGGGAGCAAGTCTATAACTGTGTCAGGGACAGGATATGTCCTCTCACTCAGACTATGGACAGGAAAGGGGTAGCAAGAACTGCAGCTGCTGGAGTCAGACACATCACAGTGTGCAGCTGGAGGAAAAGAAGGGTCCTGACCTGAAATGTCAACATTCCTGCTCCTCTAATGCTGCCTGGACAGGAAAGGGGTCTCTTGTTCTGTATTGAGGTCTCCCACTTGTACTGGACAAGTGGTGTCACATTCTACTGTGAACACTATTGTGAACAAGTTGAGTGCCTCTCACTCACACTCTTTTCAAAAAAGGTGTCTCTCACTTATGAGCAGTGCACAAGGGCCCCTCACCGTTCTGAACTGGGAGTGAATGCAACTCATTGTTAAGATAAGGCAATGTGTGAGAGCGTTCCTCCCTGTTCTGGACGGTAAGAAAGCGTGACAGTCCCTTGCTGACCTACACAGGGAATGAGTGTGAAGGTCCTGCATTGTCCTGGACAAGGAGTGAGTGTGAGGGACCCTCGCTGTCCTGGACAGGGGGTGAATCTGAGGGACCCTTGCTGTCCTGGACAGGGAGTGAGTGTGCAGGACCCTTCCTGAGTGTGTGTTCCTTGCTGTCCTGAACGGTGAGAAAGCGGCAGGGTCCATTGCTGTCCTGGACAGGGAGTGAGTATAAGGGTTCCTCACTGTTCTGGACAGGAAGTGGGAGGGGAGGGTCCCTCCCTGTTCTGGGCAGAATGTGTGTGTGTGTTCCTCACTGTCCTGAATGGTGAGTGTGAGGGTCCCTCGTTGTCCTGGTCAGGCAGTGAGTGAGTGTATTCCTCCATCTTCTGGATAGGCAGTGATGATGAGTGTCCCCCCACTCTCCTGAATGAGGTGGGGAAAGAGGGTGACAGTGTGTCTTGCATTCTCCTGCTCACGGTGAGGGTCTCCCGCTGTTTTGGAGATGGAGTGAGTGTGAATGTTCCTCCCTGTTCTGTACAGGGAATGATGATGTGTCCTCCCCTACTCTCTTGGTCAGAGAGCGCGAGTGAGTGATGGAGAGTGAGGGTCCTGCCCCTCTGTTGCACAGGGAGTATGTGTACGTGGCCCTCATGGTGATTTCTGAAGAAGGGTCTAGGCCCGAAACGTCAGCCTTCCTGCTCCTCTGATGCTGCTTGGCCTGCAGTGTTCATCCAGCTGTACACCTTGTTACCTCATGGAGGATGGATGGTCATTGAGGAGAGTCACTTCCTCCCACGTGGTCGGTGCGTGCGGGTGACGCTGGGAGAGGGCGGCGCCTGCGCGATGCCGGGGCCTGGCGGTGTGGGGGAGGGGGGTGTGTGTGGGGATGGGGGAAGGGAAGGGAAGGGACGGGGGGGACACGGGGGAAAAAAAACAAACCGGGAGGGCAGGGAGAGGGAGGGTCCGGGCTAGAACCAGCACAGACACCGCTGAATGAATGATACCCATTAACAATAAAAGAAAAGACACTGAACTAAAGCGGCCGGCCCGCAGTATCCGAGCCGCGCCCGGGCTCCCAGCTTCTTGCGAGGGGAGATCGGCCGCCGAAGGAAAGCAGCCGCCCGCCGGGCACGGACCGAGCCCCCGCTAGGTCCGGGCGGCAGCCGGCTGGCCCCCCGGCAGGTCATGACCATGAAGCCGGGTTTACTGAAGCAGCCGGGCGGGGTGGCGCAGACCGAGAAGCGGGCGGCGGCGGCGGATTACTCTGCGGCGGCGACCAAGGAGCTCGGCGGCGAAGCGGGAGGAGAGGCGCTCGGCTGCGACGGGGATACACCTCCTCCCAAAGGCGGCCGAGGCAGGATGAACGGCGGCGACACTAAAGCGGTCAAAGGGAGCCGAGGGGCTGGAGCGGGGGTGGCCTGGGGCCGAGGAGGTACAGCCTTGGTCCCCGCCGGAGACAGTGTGGGCCGCGGCGGCGGAGGAGGAGGAGGTGGTGGTAGTGGGGGGCCCGGCGATGGCACCGCGCCTTTGCCCGGCCTGGAGGCCTTGCATTGGGGCAAAGTGAAGAAACAACAGCAGCAGATCCAGCAGCCGCCATCGTCTCAGCCTCAAGGCCCGGGCCCCACACAGAGCGCCCGCCTCAAACAGATCGTCCTCCTGCAACTCGACCTGATCGAGCAGCAACAACAGCAGCTCCAACTGAAGGAGAGGGAGATCGACGAGCTGAAGGCCGAGAAAGAGACGGTGAGGAGAGGAAGGGAAGGGATGGGGGAAGAAATAAAGAAGAGAAAACGAAAATAAAATGGCGGAGGCGCATTAAAATGCCCGGTGATAACAATGACGGGCGGTTCGGTGCCGGGGCTTCGGGCCACCATCTTAGAGCGTGTAAGATGGCGGCCGGCCCTGGCTGCCGCAGGGCTCGCCGGGATTTGTAGTCTTCAGGCCGCTTCGCCGGCGTTGGGTGATGACTGTCCGACGTCACAGCCAAGACTACATCTCCCAAGCTGACAGGGGTCCCAGCCCGCAGACCGAGCGACACACTGGACGGTCAGTCTGTCGCGCGTCAATGACGTCACCAGCCCTCTGCCTTCCTGCTTGGCCTATAATTTAAAGTCTTTGGGGGAAAGAGAGCTCCAATTCTTTCTTTTAGACCTAGATGAAAGGGCGGCTTCAGATGCTACATTTCTGCACATATGTTTCTCTCTATAGATCTTAATTAGCACTACCCATGGTGCTTTTCAGTATTTTTGCCATTTACAGAGATGCCTCATATGTACAAGTATGTTGCCTTCACTGTTGTGTTTGAAAATTGAACAATACTGATTGATTTGTGTTCCAGTCATCCATAAACATGGAACACTCTTTCATTGTATTGCCTATCTTGCAATAGAGTATTTGGAGTGATCTAGTGCACCAGACCTGGCCACATTTATATCTAAGGAATAAATATGGGTACAAGTACAGTGTGTTGTCAGCTGTGTAATTTATCACAATGCTAATGTGTTCACTGAGTGTAAGTCTTATTTTAGCAAATTGTCATTTTATATTAAAAAAAATTGTTCTTACAATGTAATATTAGTCCTTCATACCTTTCACTCAAATGTCAACCTTGTGTTAATACCATTTTCGGTTTCATTTCAATTAGATCCCAGTAGATCTGTGCAAGCAGTTCCTTAGAAGTCTGCTTTGTGCTCAAAAATGTCAATAATGGGTGTTATCTAATGGTGTAGCAGTTTTTTTTTAAACTAAAGAAGATTGCATTTGTGGTAAATTGTTAATCCTAAATTCTGAGAATTCTTAGTAATTCCGCATCCAAGGCCTTTCTCGAAGCCTTTCATTAGTGGCCTGAGTAGGTTTGAAACTTGTGTACTAATTATTGTAATGCACATTCATAATGGGAATGTACAGTGAACATATATTAGTATCAGCTATTTTAGAAAGTTTTGATCGTGGAGGTTAAGGTATATTGCAGACTATATTTTGGGGAATATTGGAATTAAAGTAAGTAACATGGAATTATCATAATTCATATGACAATTAGGATTTTTCTTTAAAATTGTGCATGTTATTGGGAGAATGATTCTACCTACATTATGTGATTGAACATCCATTTATTTGTCAGTTTGACAGGAGATAAAATGGACACCAAACAGAGTTGTTGGGTTAAATATTAATTTGTGTTCCAATTCAACACTGCTTAATGGGATGAAATCATTTATTTCTGCTCTTTTTTTGCAATGATTGTATATTTAAAAAGGTCTCATTCCAGTTTTTGTGTTGGTTTATAGGAGGGATGTGTTTGCACTGGAGAGAGTGAGGAGAAGTTTTACCAGGTGGTTGCCTAAGTTGGAGAGTTTTAATTATGAAGAGAGAGTGGATAGACTGGGCTTGTTTTCTTTGGTGCACAGGAGACTGAGGGGGTGACATGATTAATATTTACACAATACGAGGGCCACAGATAGAGTAGAGAGGAAGGAACCTTTCCCCTTGGTGGGGGAATAAATGTAATCCATGGGAATTACATGGAGCCGGAAGTTTAGAGTGGATGTGAGGAAATTTATTTTTACTGAATGTGGTGGGTATCTGGAGCTTACTGCGTGTAAAGGTTGTACAGGTAGAAACCCTCATTATATAAGAAGTAGGTAGGTGTGCACTCATGATGCCAAGGCACACAAGGCAATGTTGAAGTGCTGGAAAATGGGATCAGAGTAATTAGGTGGTTGTTTTTGATTGGCACAAGCTCAATGGGTTGAAGGTCTTTTTCTGTCCTGTAGACTCTTTGACTCTGAACATAGACCACAGCTCAAAAGTACTACAAATTTTGAAACTTATGCTGAAATGCACGGTAGAACCTTGAATCAAATGTGTATAATCTCCCAGCCCTTGTTGAATGCAAAATCAAACTTTAGCAAGATAACTAACATCTGCCTTCTTTTAATTATGTGCTTTTTATCCTTTTTCCAGAAAGAATACCGCATAACTATAGCATGTTAGTAGGAAAGCACACTTTTGGGAAAATCCCAGTTAGAAAGTTTATCAATTGCAGGTTCCACGTCACATGTGTTTGCTGTACTTTTTCAGTGGAGATGAAGGACTCGTGTTTGTTTAGGAGCAGAGCACTTTTCCCATGGATTAATAGTGTATTGTGTGAAAGGAAATAGTATGGTGAATATTTTGCATTTATTTACTTTTCTAAAGCTGACCATGATATACTGCAGCATTATATTTACAGGTTCTATACGAACCAGCAATACTGGTTTTCTTCAAGGTTTAAAAATTAGCAAATAAAAAGCTGTACATTGCACTTGCAATATCTCAAGAATGCAGTCCCCAGCAGCAGAAATTCAGTTTATATTGGAACTCCAGTGTTTAAAAATGGTTTGTCACTTTTCGATCATCATGCCCACGAAATAGCTAAATGCAGGTGGTGTCAGATATTACAATACTTGTAGCTGATTGCTGTATGCTAGTTGTACAAAGTTAAAAAAGATCCTATTTTTACACTAAGAGCAGTAGCAGAGGTTAGGTGATAAACAGCCGTATGGTATCTTAATCTTTGTGCAATACCGCTTCAGCTGTTAAATTTGGTTAGTAAAGATTAAAAATAACACTGACAATCTGAACTAAAGCAGAAAATCATGAATAGTCATCAAAAATAAAAAATAATTTAGGTGAAGTGTATTATCAGAATTTCCTGTCAAGTTTATACACCATGAATGGAATTTTCCAAATTATGTTGGAAATTGTAAAGTAAATTAGTAAAGTTATATGCACACATTTTTGTTAGTGGCAATCAAATGGCGACACTGTTGGTGGGAGGGTGTGAATTCAACTGTAAATGTTTACATGAGTGTTTTAGTGTTAAATGTGAATATAGGAGTTTCTCCCAGAAATATGAAATTAATGAGGTTGAATTACATCTATACTCTAGTTGCTTTATCTCTTAGCCCCATAATCCCGCTTTGCCTGAAGGCTTGATTTTGATGATATGTGCAATTCTAAGGAAGGTGTCTGGTCATATTGGAAGCTTTTGTTTTAAAATAGAAAGCACTTCAGGTCATTTTTACAAAAAAAATATTTTGTGTACAGCTTCTGGCTCGTCTTGAGCGCATGGAAAGGAGGATGCAGCTGGTGAAAAAAGAGAATGAAAAGGACAAGCACCGATTTGTTCAAACTGTGGATGAGACAGAAGAGAAGAATGCAACAGAAGTGGAGAAGATCCAGCCAGAGCATCAACAGATTACCCCTGAACAATCGCTTGTTCAGGCACAGGGCAATCGAACGGAAACTTATTCTGGGAAGGGATACAAAAGGTACTCTGTACTTCGTGGGTAAACTGCAGAATTTAGTTTAGTTTGAATCAAGGCAGTATGGAGCTGCTAGTATGTCATTTGTAGTTTGCAGCAAATAGTGGGAGTATTCCTCCTCAGGCCCTCCATCAAATTTGTAAAATAATCATGGGTTACAGGAAAGAAAACACAATGTAAACATATTGTGAAAATAACACTCCAACTTAAATGTAAAATGCCTGATTCCTCCTAACTGGTTGCAAAAAATACAGCACTTATTAACCACGACAATGGTGTAATTTCCATAAAGACAACCTGCTTTTAGACTGGAATTAGATCATTTATATTAAAGTAATTTATCCCTGTTTCAGTTGAAGAATTCCCCAAATATTTTAAGGTGAAGTATACTTGTGATGGGAGATGAAATTGAAAGGAAATAGGAAGGTCGATTTGAAAATATACCTTTTGGATCTAAAAGCCTTTGTTGGAACCTGAATTTAACATTTCCCCTTTACTCAGCAGGGGACTTTTGTGGATTTTTCTTTCAAATTGTCACATCTTAGTTTTTAATCAGGCATGAATGTAAGTTGTGTAGTCTTTTAATGTTTGACTTTGTTATTTAGTGTAGCTATTCATCCCTCTCTCCTGTGCTGGCTGGCCATAATATCTTAAGGAAAGATAAACAAATGGTCAAGGGAAAACAAAAAATCCTCATGTTGATTTCTCTACTTGCTTCAGTTAGAGTATCTCAACAGTGAAGCTGAAACTTAATCAAAATCACAGTGTGGACAGTTGTTGAATTTCACCAGGCACTAGACATTCACTGAGATAACAAGGTGTAGAGCTGGATGAACACAGGCCAAGCAGCATCAGAGGAGCAGGAAAGCTGACGTTTCGGGCCTAGACCCTTCTTCTAG